TCAGGAACAGCACCCAGGATTCCAAGTTCAAGCCCCAGGACTGGCACAAGAAAAAAAGATAAAGAAAATCTCCAAGGAATCTCAGCTTTAAAAAGATAATGTCATATAAGGAATCTTTTAAAAGAAGACCACAGAGGGCTGGGAAGGTGGCTTAGTGGTAGAGAGCTTGCCTTGCATGCTTGAGGCCCTGGGTTCTATTCCTCAGCACCACATATGCAAAAAGAAAAAAGCCAAAAGTGGCATTGTGGCTCAAGTGGTAGAGTGCTAGCCTTGAGCTGAAGAGCTGAGGGACAGTGCCCAGGCCCAGATGTTCAGGCCCCACGACCAGACCCAAAAAAAGAAGACCACAGAGATCAGACAATTCCAGTGTTTTTCTTCTAGGCTGAACATCATAGAAATCATCTCTAATTGAGGCTTTCTAATAAAAGAATGGACAAAATGCAGAAAAAGGAAACGGATGATTGTGGATATTTTGGCCCCTAAACGACAGAGTTAGATCTGGGTTTGTTTATTTTTTTATACAACAGTTGTGCTTAAAAGTTATGCCTCTGAATCTCAAGCCAGTCAAAATAGTCCATGATTTGGAAGGAGCAACAATAACAACAAAATCCCAGATTGCAACATTATCGAAGAGCTTTATCTCAACATGGAGAGTACAAGGGGTCTCTTAGGTCATGGAGCATTTCTCCTAACGAAATGTCCAAGAAGAAAGACTACAGCTCCAAGTGAGAGGGGAAAAAACAAATCAAGGGAGTATTAGGACTTGGGTAGTCGAGTGCTTTGGAGATGTCTGGAAGTCGTCTGTATAAATGGGTCATGAACTAGGACTCTGGGAGAATCAAAGGGCGAATTAACTAAGCTAGTGATCAAGGTAGGGATGGAGATCAAGGAAGTGCAGATCCTCTTCCAGGTCAGAGGGCACGCCACCCTCTCTTGGGGAGGTGGGGGTGGAGGTGGTATTAATTAGCCTCTGAGTTTTTCCTCCTTCGTTGAGTTCCTCTCCTTTGCAATCCCTTTCATTCTCAATAGGAGGCAGTATGGAACAGCCATAGAGCATCTACATCCGGGTTAGATTTGGGTTAGGAACACATCCTCCTTAGTTCTTGTCTGGGCTGGTGTCCTGGGCGTGGCGTGAATGCAGTATTCATCAACAGTGCTCCGTCCACACCAGACATCTTTATGCATCTTGCATGACTCAGTTTCCATCCAGGTGGCTGGAGCAGGAACAAACCCCTTAAACTCTTCTCCCAGAATCTTGCGAATCTTCAAATCTCAACCTGAAGGCCTAGGGCAGAAGTAATCTTCCATTGCTCTGCAGAGCCACACGGAGTGGCACGACACTGCCCCCTGTTGGTGCAAGTGGGGTAGTACAGAGAAGGAAGCAGGTGGAGGGAGGGGGTGAGGCTTCAGGGGAGGGGAAAAGGTGCTAGCAGTATTCATTCCTTCAACAATCTTTGTCAAAGCAGAAGCAAAATGGCTCATAGGACTTGGTACAGACTAGAGGCGTTGGAATCCCAACCAACCCCAAACCTCTCTTTTGGTCCCCTGTGGTTCTCCAACATCGGATGCTCCTCGTATTCCTGACTAGACATTAGGTCTTCAATAGCTAGAACCCATCCCACAGAGCGAGAGGAATGGCAGCCTGCTCTGTGCGACTCCCCAAAGCCACTTCTGATGACATCCGGCCTGGGAGGTGAGCAGCAGTGCCCCCCCTCACCCCCTCCCCATGGGCAGAGGAAGCTGTGGTCTACAGCTTCGCAGTTGAGGAAGTCTTTCTGGCCTTCATCAACTCACCGCATTCTTAGCAAAAGCGCCAGGGCTGTCATCCCTCGCCCATCAGAGGCTGGAGAATTGCGGTGTTGGGACACAAGATTAAAAACAAAAAGTCTCTTGAACCACGCAGCTTTAGATCCATGCTTGAAATAATAATTCTGAGAGCCCGGGCTGCTCCATCAGCCTCTCCTTCCTGCGAAGAAGCACAAGCAAGGTTTCCTGGAACTGGCAGATGCAGGTTTCCGCTCAGGCCCATGGCTTGGCCTCCAGCCTCTGTCTGTCAGGATGCTATGTTCATAGCAGCTCAGGGACCAGAACCAGGAATCCAGCCGCCTCCGGGGAGCCCTGGGCTGGTGGCAGCTTTTCATGCTCAATGGTAGGAGACCATCCTTCTTCTGTCACCATCCGTAGCCCCTAGGCTGGCAGGGGATTTTCTGCTAAAGTCCTGACTCTGCGATTTCTGCCAGCTGACCCAACAGTCTGGAGAAGGGTGGCCGGTCTTCCGGTCTCTGGAGGAGAAGAAAAAGATCTCTGTGAGGTCCTTGTACTTCCACGGCAAATTCAAGTTCAAAGCAAACTAGAATTTAACAGTGGAATTTTCTTTTTTTAAAGTGCCCATCCTGGGGCTTGAACTCAGCGACTGGGCTCTGTACCTGAGGTTTTTAGCTTAAGGCTAGCAGGCTATTACTTGAGCCACAGCTCCATTTCTGAGTGTTGGGTGGTTCATTGGTGATCAGAGTCTCACAGAGTTTTCTACCCAGGCGGGATTCGAACCTTGATCCTCAGATCTCAGTTTCCTGGGTAGCTAGGATTACAGGCGTGAGGCACCAGGGCCTGGCTGATCGTGTGATCTTCTGCTAATTTGAAAACACGGATTTGTAGAGGTTGCACCGGAGGCACCAGGCTCCTGTGGTTCATGGTAGTTAGGTGGCTTTGTTTTAAATCTCAACCTCACTACTACATTAGCTGTGTGACATCATCATCCAGTTACTAAACCTCTCTAGCAGGTCAGTCTTATCCATAAAAAGGAGATAATAAAAACAACTTAAAAGTAAAATAAAAGGGGGCTGGGAAGGTGGCTCAGTGGTAGAGTGCTTGCCTTGCATCATGAGGCCCTGGGTTCGATTCCTCAGCACCACATAAGCAGAAAAAGCCGGAAGTGGTGCTGTGGCTCAATTGGTAGAGCGCTAGCCTTGAGCTGAAGAGCTGAGGGACAGCGCCCAGGCCCAGAGTTCAAGACCCATAACCGACCAAAAAAAAAATTGAGAATGAAGCAAGTCACAAATAAAAAATTATCATCATAAAATGAATGTTACTTAGCACCGATCTCACAAAAGATGATGAAGCTGCATATAAAGGAAAAGGTAAACTTTGTAGTGAAAGGAAGAAATAAACGCACAGAGAAACAGGACAGGAAAAGTGTACTGCGAAGATCTTAACTCTTCCTGGCGTGGTCTTCGGAATTCACAATTCCTGTGAAAATTCCAACGAGTTATGCTGTGGGTACCCACAATCGGCCCCTGAGCTTTGTATAGAAGCCCCGTATGCCAATGACAAAGCTACACATCTTCAGAACTCGCTAAAAAGTCAAGATAGGGCGGTGTTGGCGAGAGGCTAAACAAATAGGCCAGTGGTGCAGACAGAGAGAAGGAAGACCATTCTTCTCACCAGTGGAGAACAGTGTAAAAGAAAAGAAAAATTGAACCCAGGCACTGATGGCTCACACCTGTCATCCTAGCTACTCAGGAGGCTGAGAGCTGAAGGATCACAGTTTGAAGCCAGCCCGGGCAGGAAAATCCATGAGACTCTTATCTCCAATAAACCACCAGAAAACTGGAAGGGGCACTGGGGCTTAAAGTGGTAGAGTGCTAGCCTTGATCAAAGAGAGCTCAGAGACAGCACCTAGGCCCTGAGTTCAAGCCTCATGACCAGCAAAATAAAATAAAACAGAAATACCCTCCAGGCCACCTGGCTGGTAATGTATTTCAGCCATCCTGCTGCGCTATCCCTAATAGCATTCCTGTAGATGGAGGTAGGAGACACTGTGCCTTCGAATGCAGGGGGACTCGTCATCTACTGACCTCTTTCCAGCAGAGATTCATGAGCTGGTAGATGGGCGGTGAGGCCAGGCGGGGCTTATATAACCGAAAGCCGGTACTAATGTCTTCCACCACCTCTGAGTTGCTTCGGTTTTCATATGGGATTTTGCCTTCGCTGAAGACTTCCCACATGAGCACACCTAGAAGCAAGGATGGGAAAACACACAGCTAAAGAAAAACCTCTACCCATTGCCCCAAAATAACCTGAATAAAAGTCACCCCACAAAACCTGTTCCCAGGGACCCCCCCCCGACCTTGGAACACCATCCCTGGGAGCTCCCCCAAAATTCCTGGGTTGGAATTCAAGGCCTGATGGTACAGAACACTCACACTGGAAGAGGACAGTTTTTGTTTTTCTGAGGTGTCTTTACAAAGTGGGGTGCTGCTGGTAAACCCTGCCAGGACAGCAATGGCTGTCCGATTGTTCTGCAGACCTCGTGGTGCCCAGATGAGAGGCTGGGCTTGCTCAAGATGGCTCAGGAGGGAAGGCAGGCAGACGCGTACTCGGGCTGGGTTTTAGCAGGCCGAGGGAGCTCTCGGTCCATCTTGGGTCTCTGGAGCTCCAGTGTGTCACCCTATTTCCCCCACCCTGTCCTTCAAGGAACCCTTTCTTATTCTGTGCCCATCTGTCCAAATAACATGCGGCAAATTACAGCCTAACCCTGTCATTAGAAAACGCAGGAGAAAATTCCCAGGCCGACACCTTCTGTAATGGAACAAACCTCACTCAGAGCCGAGACAAAGATGTTAGGGTGCCAGGGATCTTTGTGTGGCCCTGGTTTTGTCTGGAGCGGTCATCTACTGAGAATCAGGCTCTTGGAAGTGGACATTGTGTGTGTGTGTGTGTGTGTTCTGGACTTGAACTCAGGGTCCTGTCCCCTGAGCTTTCTTTTTGGTAGCTAGCACTCTATCACTTGAGACACAGCACCACTTGGGGCTTTTCCTGAGTAGTTTATTGCAGAGAAGAGTCTCGCAGGTTTTCCTGCCCTGGCTGGCTTTGAACCGCAATCCTCAGGATCTCAGCCTCTTGAGTGGCCAGGATGACAAGCGTGAGTCACTGGCTCCCAACGGCCCCTACCTCTCTGACAATTTCTTCTCGTCTTCCAAGTCTTGGCTTCAGTCACCTCCTCAAGAGGTCTTCCCACACCCCACTGGTGAGAGTAGACCCGTCTCCCAGCTTACCCACTCTGCATCCTGTTAGCATTTCATCGTAGCACATCTTATTGCTTATCCCTTCGCTTGTTCACGCGATTCTCATCTGCCCCCCTCTCCCCTCACACTCAGCTGCAGGAGGACAGCAGTCTCTTCTGTCTCGTGAACTATGACAACCTTGGCACAGAGATGAACCCCTGGCACATAGTAGATGCTCAGTAAATTGTTGTTGGGAGACCAAGTACTTATTGAGCGTTCCTATTGTACTTATTGGAGAGTTCCTATTCTTAAAAAAAAAAAACAAAAACCACAACAACAAACAACAAAATCCTGACTTTTCCAGATTTTGATTCAGAGTAGCAGCCGCTAGAATCCCATTTCCATGTTGGTTTTGGAGATCTCCCATTTCAGGAAAGGCCTCATCCTCCATGTTGGGCTGTTGGTACCCAGACCTTCAGTGGGCTCCCCTCACCCTCTTGGGGTCTGGGCAGGTGGAGATGTCCCTCCGTGGTGGGGGGAGGGGAGGAGATACTCACCGAAGGACCACACATCCGACTTGCTGCTGTAGCGACTGAAGGAAAACACCTCCGGGGACGCCCACTTCACGGGGAATTTGGTGCCCGTGGAACTTATGTACTGGTCATCGAGAACGAACCTGGGGGAGGGAGAGGCACAAGGAGTCGGAATGGAGCAAGGGGTCTGACCCGCTCCCAGCCTCGGCTGCTCCCACCGTACCCGCTGTTACCTGGTCATCCCAAAGTCAGACACCTTGATGACCTGGTTTTCTCCCACCAAACAATTCCGAGCAGCCTGCACAGGAGAGAGGAACTATGTCAGTGGAAGGGATCTTTACTTATGCCATAGGTTTCTGGGGGGGGGGGGCATGCACACACTTGCACTAGTCCTGGGTTTGAACTTAGGGCCTGGGCACTGTCCTTTAGAGTTTTATGCTCAAGGCTAGCACTCTACCATTTGAACCACAGCTCGACTTCCAGCTTTTTGGTGGTTAATTGGAGATAAGAGTCTCAGATTTTTTTTGTTCCCCAGGCTGGCTTTGAACCCTGATCCTCAGCTCTCGGCCTTCTGAGTAGTTCGGATGACAGGGGTGAGCCACCGGGGCCAGTCAATTATCCTATATTTTGCTTTGTTGCATTTTGTTGTTGCGGCCTTGAGTAGCTGTACAGGTATTAGTAATTAATAATCTCCCCCCCATAGTGACACCTGTAAGTACTAGTTACTCAGAAAGCTGAGGACTGGGAGACATGGTTCAAAGCCAGCCAGAACGGGAAAGTTCAGGGGACTCCATCCCCAAATAACCAGCACATAGGTCACAATAGGAGACATGGTGCCAAGTGGTAAAGTACCAGCTACCAGTGAAGAAAGCTGAGCTCTGAGTTCAAGACCTGGTACCAGTGCGCATCCCCTCACCCGCCCCCCCAATCCTAGGCTGGATGGCAACATCATGGGACAGGAAAGGGTGTTGTGACTCATGGAAGAATAGTTTGAGGCTGCCAATCCTCTTAAAATTACTCCTTGATACTGGGGTTTGACACAAGCCCAGGAGGGGAAAATCCATTAGACTCTTAACACCAATTAATTGCCACCAAAAAGCTAGAAGTGGAGATGTGGCTCCAATGCTAGTAGATGTGGTTCAATGCTAGTAGAGCACTAGCATTGAACCACAACAACAACAAAGCTTAGGGATCATGCCCAGGCCCTGAGTTCAAGCCCCAGGACTGGCACAAAAGAAAATTTAGTCCACAGTGGGGAGAGTTCCTGACCCCTTACCACATACAGATGTAAGACATATTTCTCTATATTATAGTGTATCAGGTCATGCTGGAAGAACTCTTGGAGACAAAAGCCCCAATGAGACTCACACTTGAAAGTGTAAATCAAGCCAGACGCCAGTGGCTCACACCTGTCATCCTAGCTACTTAGGAGGCTGAGATCTGAGGATCCGGTTCAAAGCCAGCCAGGGCAGAAAAGTCCCCGTGAGACTCCAATACACCACCAGAAAACCAAAAGTAGAGCTGTGGCTCAAAGTGGTAGAAAGCTAGCCTTGAGCAAAAAAAGAGCTCAGGGACAGTGCCCAGGCCCCGAGTTCAAGCCTCACCACTAACAACAACAACAACAACAACAACGAAAAGAACTGGAAAAAAAGAAAGAAAAGAAAAGCAAGTGTAAATTGAGCACCAACCCCTGGACTCCTGGAGAGGTGTCTCATGGTACTTATCCATCCCTCCATTTATTTTGCCTGGAGGAAACTGAGGCCCAGAGGGGCTGAGAAGAAGTGGCTGTTGACTCCACTTTGGGAAAAAAAAAAAATACAGCCAAGCAGTTACTTGGAGAGTATAAATTGGAGGAAGGGCTAGGATGACAGCCAAGATCTGCGTCTTGAACTGCTCCTGCCAGGACCTCCCGGAGTGGGTGGAAGATGGGAGGTGTGGAGAGAGGCAGGGAGGCCTGCGATGGGCCCCGGGTCAGGGCCCACACCCGTACCAGGTCTCTGTGGATGACGCACTCCTTCTCCAGGTAGCTCATGCCCTCACACACGTCCTGGCACATGCCCAGCAGGGTCTCAGCCCCAAAGAGCCCGCGCTGGCTGCGCAGGTAATCCGACAGGCAGCCGTGCTCCATGAACTCGAACACCAGGCAGATGGGGGCCTGCTCCAGGCATACGCCATAGAGCTGCACCAGTTTGGGGTGGGAGAGTTTCCTGGAGGGAGAGCAAAGCCAAGCAAGGGGTGAGAGGCTCACTCCGACGCAGTCTCGCTGAAGGGCTGAGCAGGGCTGAATGACGGACGTCGCTTCACCTAACTCATGGTGTTGAGGAAAGAATTTCCTCCCCCCCCCAAAACCGTCTGGGGATGGCGAGGGGTGGGTTGTAGGAATAGAATGGTCAGAGGTCAGTGTGGCTGCCCAGGCAGGGGCCAGGGGAGAGATGGGAAGCCCATCTGTCAGGGAGTTGGCAGGGCCAGGCCACGGCCCGTCTTCTAGACCAGGATGAGGAAGCCTGGCTGTTCTCTGCCATAGGAATTCACTGCTGGCATCTGAAGAGGGAGCTGGCATTGGAGGGGGCCTTTGAAGAGCCCACCCCAGAGCGCCCTGCACACCCCTCCACCCACGAGGCTCCCAGGCCACTCACATCATGACTTCTGCCTCCTCGATGAAGGCCTCTTCCGACATCGCCCCCTGCTGGATGGTCTTGATAGCCACCTTGTGTGTGTGCAGCCAGTAGCCAAGATGCACCAGGCCAAACTGCCCGCTGCCAATCTCTTGCACAAACGTGAGCTCGGAAGGGTGGATCTCCCACTTTCCTGGGAGGAGGGGAGGGAGGGGTCGGTGGAGGGGGTAGAGAGTTACAGAGCAGGCAACTGACAGAGCATAAGACTCACAGAAATCTCTACCTAGAATTTTTTGCCTAAGATGAATATAATTCAAATTGGGCAAATACATAACATATAAATAATATACTATAATGCAAGTAGGTAAATCCTAGACTTAAAACTATCACAAAGAATCATCTTTCCCTCCCAAATAGTAACATAAGAAACCATAAATATATATATTACATATGATATATAATTATACATGATGTATAATCATACATGCTATTATAGAATTATCTATCATGTATAATTATAACTGCATATGTATATCTTTTATAATTATACATAATACGTTATACATCATACTACATATGTTATATAATACTTTATATCATATACTGTATAATGTACATAATATGTTATATATAGTATTTTATTTTATTATTATTTTTTTTGTCCGGTTGTGGGGCCTGAACTCTGGGCCTGGGCGCTGTCCCTCAGCTCTTCAGCTCAAGGCTCGCGCTCTACCACTTGAGCCACAGCGCCACTTCTGGCTTTTTTCTTTTTGCTTATGTGGTGCTGAGGAATCGAACCCAGGGCCTCAGGCATGCAAGGCAAGTGCTCTACCACTGAGCCACCTTCCCAGCCCTATATATAGTATTTTATATACCATATAGCATATGTATTATATATGATATATGATGTAGACAATACATGATCATATATTATATATGTGCTATATCATACATTATATAATTATCATAATAAATGTATATTTTATAGGTTATATGTTACATATAATATTGTATATATTGTATATATTATATAATATATACAATATATTTTGTACCTAATGTAATATATAATACATATATTATGTATAATTATATGTAATATATAACATAATATGTACATCTATTATATACTACATCTACTGTATATGTATATTATATATGTATATCTATCTCCACATCAGTACCGCACCTGCTCTTGTTCTAGTGATCCTCTGAAGCCTGGCCTCACAGCAAACCCTCTTAAATTTGCTCTAGATCTCTGAGGATGTGAATTTTACCCCAGTTTTTAAAATCTTTCTGATATTGCATTGCTCACCATATCTCAACCCTGCCGTGACCGGGGCTTTCTGCCTCCAGGAACAGACTGGATACCGGAGTCGGGTGACCAGGCCTGGGTTGATTGAAAAGCCAAAGGCCACGGTTAGAGTTTTGCCGCGGCCACTGTCTGCGTGAAGGCACCAGGAAGGAAAGCCCAGCCGGATGCAAACATCCTGGCACCTTGCTTGTTGGGGATCTCCTACCCCCCACCCCAAATCTGGCCTTGTCCCTGGGAATTTACCTCCTCCGTTGTGCTGGTGGTATTTGATGAGGAGGGGGATGGAGTCGAACACGTACTTTTCGGCCACGTAGTATCGCTTGGGGTTGTCGTTTGTTTCTTTGATGTGATAATGCTTTATACAGGGATTGTTCTCGCTTGAAGCAGAGAATGCACAGAGTCAGTAAGGGTTAGATACTGTCACCTAGACTTACTACTATCTCTGTGTTGGGACCTTTGGGGTAGATGGCAGGGGTACAGTATTGCAGTGTGTGTGTGTGTGTGTGTGTGTGTGTGTGTGTGTGTGTGTGTGTGTGTGTGTGGTGTTCCCCCCACCTTCCTTGTTTTTGCTAGTCCTGGGGATTGAACTCAGGGCCTGGGCACTACCTTTGAGCTTCTTTTTGCTCAAAGCTAGCCCTCTACCATTTGAGATACAGCACCACTTCTGACTTTTTTTGAGTAGTATGTACTGGAGATTAAGAGTCTCATGGACTTTCCTGCCCAGGCTGGCTTCAAACTGTGATCCTCCAATCTCAACCTCCAGAGTAGCTAGGATTACAGGTGTGAGCTATTGGCACCCAGCCTCTGGCCTTGATTTTCTGAGGACACAGGGGACATCACACCCCCAGAAGAAGCCTCTGCCTGCTGCACAATTGTCTTTGATGTGTGCATCCCATTACCCAGAGAAATTCTCCTTCCTCCTTCCCTATGCCCTGTCGGCACTCTACCTGACAACAGCCTTCGTGAACACGGACACAGTGTACGTTCCTGGAGTCCTGGAGTCTCGGACCATGAAGGCTCCTTCTTTGCCCTTAGGAAGAGGAGAAGGTTAATGAGTTCAGTGGGGAAGCCGGGCTATCCAACCTACTTTTGCCTTCTTGCTTGTGGAAGTGTGTGTGTTGGGGGGGGGGTACTTTGTGACATAGAGCAGACTTTCAGTAACAATGGTTTCCATTTTGTTTCTTCACTCAACAGCTGTGTCAGGAGCGCCTGTGTGGCTCAGGGATAGTTTGAGTGCTGAGTGATAGATAAATCACGGCCTCTTAGAACTCACCATGTGCTACTGTACAGAGATTTCCCAATGTTCACTCCAACATTGTAGTGTAGACATTATTATTCTCTATTACAGCAAAGATGCTGAATGCGCTTAGTGGTTTTTCCGTAGCCCACAATGAGCAAGTGGCAGAGTGTGTGTGTGTGTGTGTGTGTGTGTGTGTGTGTGTGTGTGTGTGTGTAATTCATTTCTACTTTCTACTCCCTGATGCTCTATTTAATGGTTGCTAGAAGCTATTTCTGTAGGTGGATCTACCAAGTCAAAATAGAGTCTTGGATGACACCTTAGAATCCTAGAAAAAGGATAAACTGTTGCATAGAAGTGGCTAAGTAAGGACTGGGACTGTGGCTTAGTGGTAGAGTGCTTGCCTAGCATGCATGAAGCCCTAGGTTCAATTCCTTAGTACCACATAAACACAAAAAGCTGGATGTTGTGCTGTGGCTCAAGTGGTAGAGTGCTAGCCTTGAGCAAAAGCAGCTCAGGCCCTGAGTTCAATCCCCAGGACTGGGAAAAAAAAAAAAAAGAGTAAAAAAAAAGTGGATAAGTAATACTCCTGTGTGAAGTTCAGACCTGTGGAAAGGAAAAAAAAAAAAGGAAAAGCATCATAGATGGAGAAAGAGGTGACAAGATAGCTGAAAAGCAAGCATGGAGAAGCAGAAAGGCCACACCAAGAAAGGCAGGAAAACAGCCCCACCTCCAAACCTGGTTCTCAGGATTCATGGAAAACCAGAAGTCTTAACCATAAGATAGGGACACAGCTGCAGCATAAAAAGACTGTTGTCCCAGCCAGAGGGGAGGCGACAGTTCTCACAAGCTTTAGATCCAGTGATGACAGCAGGAGTCACTTTGGCCAACTGTACAAAAGGCCCAGAAATAAATCTACACAGGGTGCCAAAAACATGTTGGAGAAAAGTCTCTTTAGCAATGGGGAGAACTGGATATCCACATGCAGAAGACATGAAACTAGGTCAGTCTCTCTCACCTGGTACAAACATCAATTGAAAATGGATCAAAGACCTTGCAGAAGACCTGGAACTTCAAAACTATTAGAGGAAAACACTTAAAAAATACAGGTATAGGCAATCACTTTCTGAACTGGATTTCAATTTATTATGAAGTAATAGGAGGAATTGACAAGGCTAGTACTCTACCACTGAGCCACAGTGCCACTTCCAGCTTTTTCTGAGTAGTTTACTGGCAATAAGAGTCTCATGGACTTTTCTGCCAGGGCTGGCCTTGAATTGGGATCCTCAGATCTCAACTTCCTGAGTAGCTAGGATTACAGATGTGAGCCACCAGTGTCCAGATGCTATTGATTTTTAAGCTCACCGACAAACTAAGGAGACTTACTGTGTCCAAAAGGAGTTTTTCAGCTTTGTCTCGACTTATGCTCTTGTTGTACCAGCTGAAAGCAGGAAAAGATTAGGTGTCAATGCCATTAAAAAATAAGCCATTATTTGCTTAAGGAAAGATAATTCTAGAAAATCATCTGTTCACTTCCTGATTCTACCCATACTTTCAAACTCAAAAGCGAAGATCCATTTCTAGGCAAGAACAATGTTTACTTGGAGAGAAAGCACCAAAAAAGGAGTAAGCAAAACACTGATCATTGTTGAGGCTGGGTATTTTTTTGGCGGGGAGGGGATGGGAGGTTTACAATTTTCTCTCACTTTTGTGCATGCTAGCCATTTTCCACAATCGAGTTTTAGAAAACATTTATTTTCCTCTCCATTTCATAAGCCTGTGGGTGGTTATCAGTAGGAGGATGTTAGAGCATCTATAAAAAGGTAGTGCCAATTGGCAAGTGCCACCTTTTCCATTTTCTGAGCTTATATTTGCCCATGGTCCCAATCATGGCTCCAAAATATTACATGGAAAGTTCTAGAATGAGTAACTCATAGGTGTTTAAATGGTGCACTTCTTTTGGTTCCATGATGAAGTGACATGTGGTCTGGCTCCATCCTGCCCAGGTCATGTAATTCATCCCTTTTTGTACAACATATGCAATGCTGTGGGTCACTCAGCAGCTGACTGAGTTTTCAGATGGACCTGGCCCTCTATGGCTCTGTGTGTGTGTGTGTGTGTGTGTGTGTGTGTGTGCATAGCTTATTTTACTTGGCAACACCCCAAAGTGCAAGAGTAGTTATGATGGTAATTTTATCGATTAATAATTTATCTTGGGGTTGGAGGTGTGGTTCAGTTGGTAGAGCACCAGTCAATGAGCAAAAGTGTCTGGAACCAAGTTTGAGTTCTGGTCTTATACCCCCCTCCCCAAAAGTATTAACTCTTGACTTAGGGAGGATTTCTTACTACCCCACTTTTCAGAAAATAATTAAAATATCTTACGCATAAGTGTTCAGGTTGTTGGGAGATTTTTCCACCAAATAACTGCTGGGTGCATAGCCTTCATGCCTGTTTAAAGGGAAATTTAGTGTTTAGACGCATATAAATCTAACTTTTATAGCTTCGTTGTGTAGCGTCACTCTACTAAAAGTCCTCTAAAAAGGAAGAAGTCTCACATTATTTGGCATTTATGTTGGGCCATTGTAAAGTTTTGCAGTAAAAGAACTGGTAAAAGTAACAATCTGCTACTGTTCAAAGCAATAGATTTCACCACCAAGAGAACAAATCTAATCAGCAACAAATAGCTAATATTTTGAAGGTTCAATGTCTCTCATTGTGAAATTTCCTCTAATGAAACATTTTTGGTGTGTGCTATAGTCAGTGTTTTTTTTTTTTTAATCTCTTCCTCACTTTATACCACTTATAGTCAGGCAGCCCAAATAATTAAAATACTTAAAAAGTGACTTTTAACCACAGGTCCTAAAATATATATATTCCCAGTTGGTATTGTAGGCTTTTAAATTCAAGGCTTCTCTAACCGAGTTTCTGCAGATGCCTAAACATGAGATAAAAATGGCAATGTGTTCCCTTTCTTTCTTTCTTGCCCCCACCCTGCCCCCTCTGAGAAGTTTACTGATAGCCCAAGAGGAATATAGATTTGGCGAACTTTTTGAGGAAATTATCTACCAGAATGAAGATGTCATATACTCTGACTCAACATCTCCATAGTTAGAAATGCATGCATTCGAGAGAGTGCCAAGATCATAAATAATGCAGGGTCTTTCTTCATTGCAACCTTGTTTGAAATAATGAAAAAAAGTATAACCTGAAAACAAAATGTCTTGCCAGGAAAGATTATTTAAATATAGTCCAAACATACATTCTAATACTATGTTGTATGTACCATGATGGAAAAAATATCTATGACATATCATCAAAGGTTAAAAGATGGGCAAAGAACAGAATGAATCATCTTAGTACAAATAAAGAAAGGACTTGTTTGCATATAATTTTCTTGCTTAGGAAATACAAGAAAGCATTAAATGATTTTCGAACCAATGTGGAGGTAAATACAGAGTGACTTAATTTTCATATATCTATACACACACATATATTTCTAAAGTTAGTTTCTTCCCTCCCTCCCTCCCTCCCTCCCGTTCTCCCTCCATCCCTTTCTCCCTCCTTTCCTCCCTCCCTCCCTCCCTCCCTCCCTCCTCCTTCCTTCCTTCCTTTCTTCCTTCCTTCCTTCCTTCCTTTCTTCCTTCCTTCCTTCCTTCCTTCCTTCCTTCCTTCCTTCCTTCTTTCCTTTCTTCTTTTCTTCTTGTGCTGAGATCAAATCCAAGGCTATAATCCAGAGGCTGCAAAAATGGATTTTTTAAATAATCCATTCTTGGAAACATTTAATATTAACCTATGAGAAGGTTAGTCTTGATGTTTACAAAACATTGGAAGGAATCTAAATGCCTACCAAAGAAATTTGAAACATGTATGCGCTGATTTATGCAACTGTTGAACTCATATTCTAGAAGGTACTTCAGGTAGGGTTCAATACCTCTCATATAGGAAAAGGGGGGAAGGCATTCACATCTAAAGTCATGAACATGCCAGCCCTCTCTGAAGGTTAGTAACAGTCATTTCTGCATCTCAGGTTAAAGAAAGGCTCGTGCAATGTGTTTTGACTCAAAAAACAGAAACAAAAACCCACCACCGTGGCGAAGCAGTTCTTGTACAACCTTGTTTTCTCCATGAATCATTCGGAGGGCTGGTTCAGGGCTTTCCTCCCAAACTGTCTTTCTGTCCACGTTTTCTTTCTGTCACCCTGGCTGTACCTTTAGCTAGCCTTGGACACTCTAGAACCGCAGTGCCAGTCTCCCAAATCAAAGAGGTCAGTGGAGAAACCCAGGGGCTTTGGGGGAGAGTTTAGGGCGGGGAGTGCTCAAGATGGGGGTACCGGGAGCCAAAGGGAAAGCCTGCTACTGCCCCTCCCTCCCTTTCTTCCTCTCTGCTCCCCTTGCCTAACTCAGTGAGGTGGGCAGTCCGAGAAAGAGGTGGTGGGAGGGAGAAATACCCTCTGTGTCCTCGGCTCCCACAGCGATCTTGAGGCCCCTGGAGACGCCTTACCCATTCTGGTCTTGAACTCGCCACCAGTGGACCTCAGAGCTGTCCAGCAGGATGTACTCTTCGTCGCGCTGCAGCGCGAGCTCCTGCGGGTCGTCGGTCTGGTAGTCATACAAGGCGATGAGCAGGGTTTCTTTAGGGTCCTGCAGGGACCACTGAGGGGCGAGAACACAGACGTACAAAGGAGGTGAGGAGCAAAACCAGCTCCGCAAGGCTCCGAGCTGCATCTTGCTCCTGGAGTTACGTTAGGCCGCTGACATGACAGCTAGGACACGCGGAAGAGAGGAAGGATGGGCGAAGACAGTGATGGTAGTCAGTGTGCATATGTGAAAATGGAAGCAGGCAACTTGAGGGGAAGGGGGGAGGGTTGGAAGAGATGGGGCGACGTTGACATTGGGGTGACACTAAAACCAAGCTGCAGCGACTCGTGACACCATGAGTTGAATTGAAACTCCTTTGTACAATGACTTAAAGATAACAACAACAACAACAATAATAATAATTGCATGGCTCACACCTGTAATGGTAGCCACTCAGGAAGGCTGAGATCTGAGGAAGGTGGTTCAAAGCCAGCCCAGGGAAGGAAAAGTCTGACACACTCCTATCTTCAATGACTTACCCAAAGGCAAGAAGTGGAGCTGAGCTGTGGCTCAAAGTGGTAGAGTACTAGCCTTGAGCAAAAGAAGCTCAGTGCCCAAGCCCTGAGTTCAAGCCCCAGTATTGGGACACACACACACACACACACACACACACACACACACACACACACACACACACTGCATGAAAAATTACACTCAGAACACTTTTGATTCTTTTACAGAGTGTGTGCTTTCATAGGTTGTATTTAGGACTTTCTTTTCATGAAGATGGAAGAATCTTTACAAAAATATTTGTCGCCGGGCGCTGATGGCTCACGCCTGTCATCCCAGCTACTCAGGAGGCTGAGATCTGAGGACTGTGCTTCAAAGCCAGCCTGGGCAGGAAAGTCTGTGAAACTCATATCTCCCCCCCTCAAAAAAAAAAAAAACACCAGAAAACTGGAAATGGTGCTGTGGCTCAAGTGGTAGAGCGCTCGCCTTGAGCTGAAGAGCTGAGGGACAGCGCCCAGACCCAAGCCCCACAATTGACAAAAAAAAAAAAAAAAGTCATACGCAGGGCGTGCTGGGCTGGCGATGGATGGAAATGACTAGAATGGAGCAAAAACGTGCGCATCTTACAATGTGAGGGTTTTATCACTCAAGAAAATGGCTTGGGGACTCAGGTGATTAAAGGTGGTGCCATTTTCTGGCTACTACTACAGGTCTCAGAATAGCCCTGGCCCCCAAGACCCCCCCACCCCAGCCCCAGATGAGGGAGCTCAGCTGGGCGAAGAGGGCCCTCACAGAGCTCAGATGTGGCAGATAGGAGGTGCCAGGGTGACCACTATGCCAGAAACTCTGGGTCAAGGTAACTGGCAGAACAGCTTCTGAAACCTCTCTTAGGTCTTGATTTCCTAAGCTCTAATATGAGGATCAAACTACAGTTGCCCTATGAAGTAGATAGAAGAAATGCTTAGTGGCTTTTTGTTGTTGTTGTTGTTGGTTATTGTTTTTTGTTTTTGGTGCTGGTTTTGGGACTTGAACTCAAAGCCTGACACTCAAAGCCCAATGCTCCTTGTGTATGACAAACATTTTGTTTCTTACTGTTATGAAAAGAAAGAATAATAATAAATACTAGCTATGTAAGCACATACTCTTTAAAAGAATCCAAAGTGTTCTAAGTGTAATTTTTCATGCATTTGTGTGTGTGTGTGCCAGTACTGGGGCTTGAGCTCAGGGCCTGGGCACTGTTCCTGAGCTGGTTTGCTCAAGGCTGGCACTCTACCAGTTGAACCACAGCTCCACTTCCATTTTTTGGTGGTTAATCCGAACCGAGTGTCTCACAGATTTTCCTGCCTGGGCTGGCTTCGACCGTTGATCCTCAGATCTCAGCCTCCCGAGTAAGCTAGGATGACAGGCGTGAGCCACTGGTGCCCACTGAGATGCTGGGTAGAAATGCGGAAGTGTTTGGAAATACACAATTATCCAACGTACATCTCCAGAGTGCTGGCATGCTCGGGTGTGGAGTTGAGACACAGCTGGGTGTCAGTAACGATGGAGTGAATCACCAGAAGGTGGATAAGTGGCTGATATGAGCCCCTAGCATGCACAGCCCCACAAAACAACCCAAGGACTCAGTGTTCTGAGCGCAGCCCAGAGCAGACAGACGCCCACCCACCTGAAGCCCCACGCCTGCCCCAAGCCTGCCCTGGCTCACCCTGCTGTCTTCTGGAGTGGGAGGAAGAGGCTTCTTTGAAGCTGAAACAGAAAAAAAATTACAGAATAAAGTGAGCAAGAATCTTTCAGAGAAAATCTCTACAAAGAGAACCACCAAGAGAATGGGGCGGGGGTGGTGGTGGTGTGGGGCCGAAGGTGAGGCCCAGACACAGAGAAACGAGCATGCTGCCTGGGCAGAGACTTTCACCCTCCTCCTCCATCCCCAGCCCCAGTGGCTTGTTTCCAATTCACTTTTCCAGAAGATACCAGAAACGTCCAGAAAGTCAACATTCTGGATTCTCTTTTTTTGTACTCCCCAAGGGAAGCTTGTTTTTAGGGGGAGGAAGTGAGACTTGGAACCCTTCCTGGAAGGTAGAAAGACTTCCATGAACACGTTTGCCAATGACTGAACCCAAATGAGAGACGGTCTGACAGGAACAGTGTCTCACTAGCTTCCTGGTGCTGCTGGGGGCTGGAGGAGGGGGCAGGGGGACGGGGAGGGGATTATGCTCTTCTTTGAGTGGGCTGGAACCTGCACCAGGTTGCCTGAGGTATCTAAATGGAGTCCTGGCTAACTCCCCCAAACTATATACCCAACCAGCGTCCATGCATGCATGCAAGCATCCATCCATCCATCCATCTTTCATCTCCTTGTCCTCCTACCTCTTTTTCTTCTCTCTCCTTCATTCTCTCCCTTTGCTTTTCTCTTCAACCCCTTCTTCTCTGGGTCTGCATAGCTTACCGCTTACTGTATCTCCACACCTCTCTTTTTTATCTCTCTCTAGCTTTTCTTTCTCTCTCCCCAAAGGCACAGCTACTGCCGCATCTCAGCCTCAGGCCTGATTCTTTTATCCACAAGTAAGCAAAACAAAATATAATATAGAGTGTGTATTATAGACCATATATTGTATACTATCCATGTAGCATACACATATAATATATACCATAATTACAATTATGTAATATATATGATAAATTATATATGGTAATATAATATGTACATATAATATGTACCCATAATACATAAATAATATATTATGTATACATGTATATATAATATGTAATAATATTATGTCATTTATATTATATATAGCCACACAGCAAGCAGCTAGGGCTAGGATTCAATCCCCATTTTCTTTTTTCCCTCCAAAGGCCTGTGACCATAGACTCCACACTGTCAATATGCCCTAAACCAGGAAGCAGTCTTGGAGCCTTTCTCCTCAACCTGTGACCACACATTGGGTTCACGTCGCACCTCCGTGAGTCTCAAGAGCTCTGCTGCCAATCCTGTCAAAACCATGGTGGGTTGGGCCATTTCACCAGGTCCCAAGAGGGTAGTGCTCAAGGCAGCCGGAGCCTGAACAGGAGAGGCTGTGGCTCACGGGCAGCAGTCAGCTGGGCGGCACAGCATCTGCATGGACGTGTCAAGGGCTGGGAGGCTGGGGGGGGGGTCACAGGAGAGGAGCTCACCGGGACAAGCCCCCCACTGGGAGGGCAGGTACTAGGGGAGCTGCTATCCCACGGGTTAGATCCTTGTGTGGCAGAGCCCTGGGCCTTGCAGAGGAACGGCTTCAACTCCATGGGGGGAACAGCAGAGGATTTCACACTTGGGACGGGGGGGAGAGGGGGGTAGGCCAAGAATCATTTCATCTTGATCCCTTAACAACTCCCCTACCATTTTTTTTTTTAAGAGATGAGGACATTCGGGCCCCGAGGTGGCCAGAGTGACGCATCCAAGCCCCTCAGCCAGGTGCTGGTGAGAATTGGAGAAACCACACACACACTCTGGTTTGGGGGAGGACTTTCTCATGGAGACAAGCCCAGGCCATCCCACTATCCTAGTCAACCCCACCCAAACAACCCCCTCCTGGGTGGCTTTCATTAGACCCCAGCTCTCATGAATAGTGTTGGGGGGGGCGGCGCTGGTAAGGTGCAGGGTGACCGGCTTCTGAGCATGGTAAATATTACTCATCTGGCCCACGGGATTGATGACCTTGAAGGACTTTCTCTCCCAAGGCGGAAGGTGAGAAGCGGTGGGTATTTTTTAAAGTGAGGCTACTGGGTGGTGACTCAGGAAGCCACGGAAAACCCAGCCACGTGTGACATCCGTCCTGAGCTGTGGGTGTCAAGCATTCTGTTCAGGGCACAAAAGAAACCCACAAAGGAGAGAAGTCACAGCAATGAGGGAGGCTGAGGGGAGAGGGAAATGGAAGGACAAGGGATTGGCCCGTAGGACCCGAGCATCCTGCGTTACTCAAGGGGTTCATTTCCTTAACCTCACACCTTCCACCCCCACCGGGAGCAAGTGCCCTGTGCATCTGAAAGTGCAGTAGGCTGATGCTGTGCATTGCTGGAGGCAATCATCACATAAGGGAACTCAACAAACAGTCCCTTCTGTAGGATCCACAGAGCCTTTGGTATCGAAGGCCCAGAAACAAACTTGGTTTGTTTTTACATTGACTCGTTTTCTCTCAAGACTGTGAAAGCCAAGGACAGGTGTAAGAAGTCTCCCAGGGACTCTTGCACATTCTGGCAGAATAGATCTAGCGTGGGACCGGTGATGTTGCATTTTTGGACCGGTGGTGTAGTATGTGCTGGTCAGATCATCTATACGCCTCGAGCACAAGGAGTTTTGTAAACACCAGCTGAAATGAAAAAGCCCGGATAGGGTGGTGGTAGAGATAAACGCTTCCCCCTGTGAAATTCTAAAAACGGAGAGTTTTGCATTCAATCTGCTGATAGCCCTGATGATGAGAAGCTGAGAACATTTTCACTTTTTTATTTTTCTCCCCCAAGGATTTGAATTCAGGGCCTCCTGCATTAATTGTTGCTTTCATTATTTTTCAGATAAGGTCCCAAGTTTAGGACTTCGATCTTCCTATCCAGATGCCTTGCAAGTAGCCAGGATTATAAACATGTGCTACTTTGCTTGTTGGTTTGTTTGTTTTCAGATAGAGTCACTTTTTTTTTTGCCAAGTCTGGCTTGGAACATTGGTCCTCCTACCTCAGCCTCCTGAGTAGCTGGGATTCCAGGTGTAAGGTACCACACCTGTGTATGGACCTTTTCCTCGCCACAGTCCTTTCAGAAAGGAGAACAGGCATCTCCAGTCTTACCGTTCTTTGTTGGGTCATACTGGGCACAGCCGGCTGCAAGCTTTTCCATCTGGGCACAGCACCTCCACCTCCCGTCCATCCAGAAGTTGGGGTGATACTTGGATACCAGAGTGTTATTGTTCCTCGTTTCTGAAAGAGGTTGGCACCCGCGGAAAAGGTATTTTTTCCAGGTTAGCCTATTGAAGAGCCATCGGTTTTACAGTTCTCTAAGACTGAACCCTGGTGTGGCTGGATTATTACCCAGAATAGTCAGAAGAAAAAGAAAAGACAGGTAAATGCATTATGCTAGTTACCAAGGGAGTGTGTGTGTGTGTGTGTGTGTGTGCGCGCGCGCATGCTTTGGTTGGTCTTGGGGCTTGAACTCAGGGCCAGGGTACTCTCTCTCAGCTTTTTCTGCCCAAGATTGATGTTTTCCCATTTGAGCCACAGCTCAACTTCTGGGGTTTTGGTGGTTAATTGGAGATAAAAGTCTCATGGACTTTCCTGCCCCAGGCTGGCTTTGAACCATGATCCTCAGATCTCAGACTCCTATGTGGCTAAAATGATAGGCTTGAGCCACCATCACCTGACTTTAAAAAAAAGTCTATTTGTATTCCTACTTTTCAGAATTCCTACTCTTACAGGAATTGTGGCTCCTAAGATAGCAAGAGACATGCATATTCCTAGTCTCATAGCTTCTTAAGAACACATTAGTATTTGAAACCAGATCTTCTGACCTATCAGATGCGTTAGGCTTCAGAATAATAATCTCCATCTAACAATGTTTTGGGGAGTAAAAACTGTACCAAGTGCCTTATCTGTCTTAAGTCATTTGATTCTCATAACAACTCTAAGATCGTTATCAAAGTAACTGGGGAAATGGAGACACAGAAAGGTCAAAGCACTTGGCCAAGGCTCCATACTAGCCAAGGGCAAAGCTGGGATTTTTGCTTTAGCTGCCTGGCTCACTCTCCATGGATGTCCATACTAACCTGATTCTAAAGGCAGCAGCCAGCAAGGTGAGATTTCAGGAATGTCTAGCTAGTGAATATTGGGCGCTAGAGCATTAATTCACTTCAGCTCTGGAGTGGATATCATTTCTTCCTTCTTCCTTGTTCAACACATGGGAAAACTGGAGCCCAAAGCAGTTAAGCACCTGCCAATCAGCATGCCGTAAATGGCCGAATCAGGCTTTAAACTTCAGTGTGCCAAGAGACCCATTCTCACTCTTCACTATACCAGCAGTTGATAAACTTTTTTTTCTTTAAAAAAGAACCAAACAGTCCATATTTTAAGTTTTGCTGGCCAAGAGGCAAATCGGAGCTATTATATGGGTTCTTACAGAATTTTTAAAAAATGGACCATTAAAAAAAATTAAAACAAAACGAAACAAACAAAAAACTGGCCAGATGCTGATGGCTCACGTCTGTAATCGTAGCTATCCCAGAGGCTGAGATTTGAGGATTGGAGGTCAAAACCTGCCTGGGCAGATAAATCGCTGAGCTTCCTAAGACTCTTATCTCCAGTGAACTAGCAAAAAGCCCAAAGCGGGGTGTGTGTGGCTCAAGTGGTAAGGAAACCAAGTAAAAGGGACCCAGGCCTTGAATTGTGCTGATTGTAACCTTCTGAGCCATCACCGAAAGGAAGAGATGTTTGGCATTGGTTTCCCTTCCACCCCCGTTTATTCTCTTAGGGACCCCTGTCTATTGCAGGAACCAGGGTTTCAGCAATTCAACGGCACAGGACTTAATTACCTTCTTTGAGAGCCAGCACCCAGCGCTGCCGGCTCTCACGATCTGGAGCGAACACATACAGGAGGTAGTTGTCATGTACCACCTGGAAACACACACAGAAGGCCAGGTAAGCAGAGCACCCCGGGATGGGGGACTCACAGCAGGCTTATCCGGCTTACGGGACCAACAGTGAAGTCTGCAACATTCTGCCAACATTCCAGCACCTCTAGATGATTCCCAGACAGTGGGTCGCCTTGCTATCCAGATGTTACGATACTGTGCAATTAGGGCAGGCTCTATGGCGTCAGCAGTTCATCTGAGACTCACTACCACTAAATGAAAAGAGCCAGAGAAGGCTCTCCTCTTGACTAGATAACCGTGTGTGTGTGTGTGTGTGTGTGTGTGTGTGTGTGTGTGTGTGTGTGTGTGTGTGTGTGTACACACACACCAGTCCTGGAGCTCCAACTCAGGCTCTGTGCATTATCCCTGAGTTTTTGCTCAAGGCTAATATTCTACCAGTTGAGCCACAGCGCCACTTCTGCCTTTTTCTTAGCGGAGATAAGCGTCACATGGACTTTCCTGCCCGGGCTGGCTTTGAACCATGATCCTCAGATCTCAGCCCCCTGAGTAGCTGGGATTATGGGCATGAGCCACCAGCACCTGGCTAAATTATTTATTTTTCATGTTAAATTTTTAGTGCTTATACACACACACACACACACACACACACACACACACACACACACAAACGCATCTTTTAGGTCAATGAGTACCTTGTTAGATGACATGTGTAATCAAGATTTTGTTTTAAAGTCTTGTTTTACATAGTCAAAGACTAGAAAGAAGTTCCAAAAATAGTACTGAGTTCCCGAGAGCTTCCACCCACTCTTCCCCCAGTGATAACATCTTACACAACATTAGCAAGCTTTGTCCCCTACCTTCCTGCCCTCCCTCCCTCCTCCCTCCTCTCTCCCCCTCCCCCCCCTCTCTCTGGGCACAGCCTCACAATTGCTAAGTACCCCCAGCCTCTTTTTGCATGAGTTATTTTCCAGGTAAGGCCTTGCTTTTTGCCTTGGCTAGCCTGGTCTGTGACTCAGCTCCAAGTGGTCGGGGATGATAGCTATGTGCCACTGTACGTGTCCACTGCTTGAGATGGAGTCTCACGAACCTTTCTGCTCAGGCTGGCTTCAAAATACATTCTCTGATCTCTGCCCCCCAAGAATATAGGCTGACAGGCTTGGCCCATTAGCTTATTATTATTATTATTATTATTTTGCTGGGCCTGGGCACTGTCCTTGAGCTTCTTTTTCTCAAGGTGAGTGCTCTCCTATTTGACCCATAGCACCACTTCCTGCTTTTTTTGAGTAGTTTATGGAGATAAGAGTCTCATGGACTTTCCTGCCCCAGATGGCTTCAAACCTCGATCCTCAGATCTCAGCCTCCTGAGTAGCTTCGATTATAGGCATGAGCCACTGCACCCAGCTCATTAGTTTATTTTTTAAGCAGGAAGCTGGCCTTGATAAATAATATCATCTACTGAATTAAGATCTTTTAATTTCAAGAGTATTTTTCTTCCCAATTTGAATTGAGTTTTTCACAACTGGGAACTTCATGTCATTCCTTTCACTTTTCAATCCTTACAATTCTAACTCCCAGAGGCCACTTTTCTAGAATGAAAAAAAGTTCTTTCCTGCATCACCTTCTTTTTTTTTTTTTTTTTTGGGTCCGGTCGTGGGGCCTGAACTCTGGGCCTGGGCACTGTCCCTCAGCTCTTCAGCTCAAGGCTAGCGCTCTACCACTTGAGCCACAGCGCCACTTCTGGCTTTTTTTTTCTTTTTGGTTATGTGGTGCTGGGGAATCGAACCCAGGGCCTCATGCATGCAAGGCAAGCGCTCTACCACTGAGCCACCTTCCCAGCCCCCTGTATCATCTTCTTAAGAGTGGAATATTCCATTGGGTGCTGCTGGCTCACACCTTTAATTCTAGCTTCTCAGGAGGCTGAGATCTGAGGATCAAGGTTCAAAGCCAGCTTGGACAGGAAAGCCTGTAGGCAAGTATCTCCCTGTGCTACCCACAGAGTTTGTGCAGTGGGACACAGTCACCCGGTCCACACCCTGTGCTGTCTCGGAGAGTCGCACTGGCCACAGGGACGCTGAGCAGGTGTCATGAAGTCAGTATGATTTTAATATCATTTCGTTGGAAGCCATTCACGTTCACATCGACACATTCACACGTGGCTGGCTCTCTACTATGTTGGACAGCAAACTAGTCTGCAAATAGTAAAACTTCAGAAACTCCTCATACTTTCTTTCTAACCAAGGATCCTGATCTCCTGTCCCAAGCCGGGAACAAGATTTTGTTGCTTAACTTCCGTGGCACGAATTAATGAGCGAGTGAATAGATGGATGAATGAATGTCACCCGTTGGACGCTTTCTCATGGGCCGGGTCTGCCGTCTCAGGCTGGGCCAGCGTGGTCTCTTTCTTTCCCTCTCCCACAATGCTGGAGGGGACTCACCTGAAAAGGGTATTTGTAGTGACATGGGATGCTGACGTCACTCCTCACGATCTCCACGCACTTGATCCGGGACAGTTCGATGGAGCCCTTCAATGTGCGCTTCTTCTGTAGGAAGAAGAGAAGGTTGTTGGTTGTGTGTGTGTGTGGTGTATGTGTGTTTTGTCTAGATGGTTTCTAGAAACTGACTTCTAGGTTAAGTCCCATTCACTTTGTAAGGCAACTCCAACATTCCCAAGGAAACAACATCCAGAAGCTCCTCCCGGCCTTCAGACTGAAAGAAACACTTTGAGCGGACTTATGGGAGAAGAGGCCCTTGCATGGTGTGCTTGGTCGGGTGATCAGTTTCTGCCCACCAAGCAACTATCCCTCCACGCCCACCCCCCATGGTGACAGTGGCAGTTAGTGGCAGCTAGAGATGAGAGGTGTCGGCTGTAGGAAGTCAACCACATGTGCGCACTGGTGCACTGGTGCTGTCCCCCGGGCCTATTCTTGACAGGAATGGAGCTCAGGCTTGACCTGGATGCCAGTGTGCAGAAGCCGCTGTCCCCTCTGTATCTTACTTTTCTTTTCTTTTCTTTTTTGTTGGTTGTGAGGCTAGAACTTAGGGCCTGGGCTCTGTCCCTGAGCTGTTTTGTTCAAGGCTTGTGCCCTACCATGTTGAGCCACAGCGCCACTTCCTGTTTTCTGGAGAGAAGAGTCTCAGGGGGACTTTTCTGCCCAGGCTGGCTTCGAACCACGATCCTCAGATCTAGTCTCTTGAGTAGCTAGGATGACGGGTGTGAGCTACCAGGACCCAGCTGTATCTGATTTCTTCAGGCTCTTTTAGTTACTCTCAGCCTTACTAGGACACCCATGTGACACACTCCTGTCTGCGCCCTATAAATGATCCTTCCTATACTTCCTTTCTTCCCCATTCCCATTAAAATTACTGGTCCAATGATTCATGATTTTTTTTTGTAAATTTCTTTTATGTTTAGGTCTTTGTAACCCAGGGAGGTGGATTCTCATGTCTTAACACGGAAATGAGCTAAATCTTAATATGACCATCTCTACTTCTAACTATCTGTTTGGATGGAAAAAGAATCAATATTTAGCTTCCAGAATACAGAAACATTTCAGAGAAATTGTGTGATACCAGTGTATGTCTATTTTTGAAGTCATATTTGCATAAGCAGTAACCTGTAACTACAGAAAACATTGCTTCCCTCCATGTAATACATTAAAATTTGAAGTAAAGAATTCCACATTGTCCAAAAAGCAATGTCCGTATCACCTGGCTATGTAACTGTAACCCCTCTTTACATACATCACCTTTATAATAATAATAATAATAATAATTCCCATCTATTCAGCGTATGACAGTTCATGCAAATGAATATAAACTATTACTAGGTAAACTTGAAAAGATAGACTACTTACAAATTATTTGTTATTGAAACCAATGTCAAGAAAAAAAAAGACAGTCCAACAAGTGTAGAATCACAGTAACAAAAATATAACTCATTCAGCTGTTTTAGTAAGCCATAATATAGCACCAGCATGATTCATTTCTCTCTCTTTCTCTTAAATTAGTGCCACTACTAGGGCTTGAACTCAAGGCCTAGGAGCTGTCCCTAGGCTTTTCACTCAATGATGGCACTCTACAGCTCCACTTCTGGCTTTTTGGTGGTAAAGTGGAGATAAGACTCTCCTGCTCTGGGCTTTGAACTGCGATCCTCACATCTCAGCCGCTTGAGTAGCTAGGATGACAGGCATGAGCCACCAGCGCCTAGCATTTCATGATTTATTTTTTGGAAGCTAGATAGATTTCCCAAATGACAAATTCCCTGCTGTTGTTCACAATTTATAATAGTGTTGCAGGCAATCCATTTCTAAGGGAGTTTGAGCTTGGAAAATAGATCCCAGAAAAGGAAATGACTTACCCAACAAGACAGATTCAGACGCGAAGGAAGGCCAGTGAGTGAAATGCTTTTGGAGGATGGAAGCCTTTCACAGGCACCTAGAATTAAGCCCCCATTGAGAATGGCTTTTAACTCAACTTGGAGCCAGTTGCAAAACCTGTCCTTATTCCTTTTCCTTTCAAAGTGGTAAACATGCACAAGGCATGAGAGGTGAGGGCCAAAGGTTTTGCCTCTTGCTAGCTTCATGACTTCCAAGAGCCTATAGGTTCTTGGGGATGGGTGGAAGATTAGTACTGCAAGGAACATCATTTTATAAATGCCAAAAGAAGAGGGAAAAAAGCTGAGAGCCAAAGAGTGGGGGGGGGGGGACTCTCCCAGGACCATAAGACATAAGCCTACCTCCGTCTCCCCACAAAGGTGCAACTAGCCACAGACGAAGGGGAGGAAGACATCTGATCTTCGATTGGCTTGGATAAGTCCATTCCAAGCTCCCAGGATTTGAGGACAGAGCCCTTAGACCCCGCCCCCCCCATTGTTGAAAGAAAAAGAAAGAAGGAAAGAAAGAAAGAAAGAGAAGGAGGGAGGGAGAAAGGGAGGGAAGGAAGGATGGGAGGAAGGAAGAAAAGAAGGAAAAGAAAGAGAGAAATAAGGAAGGAAGGAAGGAAGGAAGGAAGGAAGGAAGGAAGGAAGGAAGGAAGGAAGGAAGACTTATTTCCAATGAACCACCAAAAAGCCAGAAGTGGAGGTGTGGCTCAAGTAGTAGAGCACCAGCTTTAAGAAGGACAAACTAAGCAAGAGTGAAAGACTCTGGTTCAAGCCCCAGTACCAGCAGAAAATATAATAATAATAATAAAGTTCATATGAAACAGGAATTCCAAATGTTTCCTGTGACTTATTGGCTCTGTGTGATGAGTTCCCAAGTTCAAAACTTGGCTCCTGAACTCTTGCCAACCTGCTCCATAACTCCCATTCACTACATGTCTTTATGCCAGGCTTTCCCAAGACTCCGAAGGCCTCTTACCCTTCCTGTGCCAGGCACCTGCAAGGAACGGAGGCATTGGGGCTGGGAAGGTAGCTCAGTGGTAGAGTGTCAGCCTTGTATGCATGAAGCTCTGGGTTTGATTCCTCAGCACCACATAAGCAGAAAAAGCCGGAAGTGGTTCTGTGGCTCAAGTGGTAGAGCGCTAGCCTTGAATTGAAGAGCTGAGGGACAGCGCCCAGGCCCAGAGTTCAGGCCCCACAACTGACAAAAGAAGAAGAAGGAGGAGGAGGAGGAGGAGGAGGAGGAGGAAGAAGATGAAGACAAAGAAGTAGTAATAGAGGCATCTTTGTCTCCAGGTAACTGTTAGGCACCTAATGCTATTTTCTCACTACCTCTGCAATGATGCCAAAATAATTCACTGATAGAGGAAGAAATCAAACATGCTTTGTAATGCCAAGGAGGCCTTAGCAAGAGCTACTGCATGGAAACAAAGGGTATTTTTTTGGATGGTGGTGATACTGGGGTTTGAACTCAGGGACATGTGCTTATTCAGAGGGTGCTCTGCCACTTGGAACACATTCCCATCCTTTTTTTTGCTTTGGTTTTCAAATAGGGTCTTGCACATTTTGCCCGAGTCTGTCTTCAGACTGCAGCCCTCGTTCTTAGACCTCCTGCCCAGCCGGGATGACAGGCAGCAGCATTACGCATGACATGTTGTCAACATGAGGTCTCAGTAACTTTCCACCCTCGCTTGTCTTAAATCTCGATCCACCCAATCTCCATCTCCCAGATTAGCTGGGATTATAACCATGAATCACGGAACTCAGCCAAAACAAAGGCTTTTTCTTTTTAAAGAAAGAGATCTTGTAGGTTAGTACTGGCATTTTATATAGAAAATCCATGATATAGGGAGTTGATAGTAGCTCAGGCTCACTTCCTCAGTGGGAAAAAAAAAAAAACTTCATCTCCTGATCCTAGGTCCAGTACTTTTTCTCGTGAACTATATTGCTAGGCTAATTCCTTTTGCATCTATCTATCTATCTATCTATCTATCTATCTATCTATCTATCTATCTATCTATCTATCTTTTATTGTTGGTCATGGGGCTTGAACTCTGGGCCTGGGTGCTGTCCCTCAGCTCTTCAGTTCAAGGCTAGAGCTCTACCACTTGAGCCACAGTGCCACTTCTGGTTTTCTGGTGGTTCATTGGAGATAAGAGTCTCACGGACTTTCCTGCTGGGGCTGGCTTTGAACCGTGATCCTCAAATCTCAGCCTCCTAAGTAGCTAGGATTATAGGTGTGTGCCACTGATGCTCAGTCTCCTTTTGCTTTTATTATTACTGATGTTGCAGAGAGCTAGAGCAAGAGAGAGAGAGGGAAAAAGAGAGAGAGACAGAGAGAGAGAGAGAGAGAGAATCTATAGCTACACAGGCTGGCCTAGTCCAGCACTCATGAGCTGGGTAGGAACTGCTGGTCCACACAGACTGCTTTGCACTTGGTACCCTTAGAATCCCAGGATGACGTTTCCCTAGATGGCAGAGGGATGAAGCCATTGGCCATTGTGCCTCCACTAATTTCAGATCACGAGATGCCTAGTATCCACGAGCATGGAGACCCAAGAGTTGAATTCATAGAAAGGTCGTCAGTGGCCTCTGGCATTACCATTGGAAGTATGAAACAAGGACACTGAGCTAGATTCTCCCTGTGTCACATTAGCTACTAATACCTTATTAATCTGAGGATCGTGGTTCGAAGCCAGCCGCGGCAAGAAAATCCGTGAGACTCTTTATCTCCAATGACCCACCCAGAAGCCAGAAATGAAACTGTGGCTCAAAGTAGTAGAGCCCTAGCCTTCAGCAAAAGAGCTCAAGGACAGTGCCCAGGTCCTGAGTTCAAGCCCCAGGATGGATAAAAAAATTTTTTTTAAGGTGAGAGGAAGTGTTTACTTACCCCAGGACGATCCTCAAAGTAAGCCAAGCTGGCTTTGGTTAACACAAAGAAGCGGACCTTGAAATTGGAAGGGGATGTCCGTCTCTTCTGCTGGGATTTCTTGATCAACTGCTCTTCCAGCAGGATGCAGTTGTTCATGATCTGACTCTTGAGAAGTGAGGCGTGCCAAGCACCTGTCCTGAGCACCACCAAAGGGAAGAGAAAGCTCCTTGGGCAGGATGGATGCCACCTGAGGCGGTTGATCTTCAGAGGGCTGCTCAAAGGCTGCCAGTCCCCACGGATAGCTTTCTATCGGTGGCGGCGACTACAACGTTTGCCAACCTAGCAGACGTCTGATGTCAAAGGCCTCGACCACATCCTTTTGAAGCTCAACAAATGAAGAGAGTGCAGGAGAGAAAGCCGCCTGCTGTTTGTGGCAGGCTGCGGAAGTGAGGTTTGAAGAAACTTGAGACTCAAAGGTCTATGAAGGATTTTTTTGTTTTTACAGTCTGTGGATTAGCCCCCGCTACAGTGAGGAACGCACAAAGGATAAGAAATGGAATTCTAGGACCAATCGAGCAGTTGTTGTCAGGCTTTTCTGTGGGCATAATTACACACTATCCTGAGCTTCGTGTCTGAAACACAAACTTGTGAGCTTACAATGTGGATGTCTGAAATGGGTCTCACTGTGCTGGTGGTGATCGCGGGTAGGTATAGTGGAGAGGCTGTTTAGTTCACAGGAGACAGATTAAGAGCTTCTATGGGCCCAGCGTAGAATGATCTGGACATCAAAAGGAACAATAGCTGGGCGCCTGTGGCTCAAGGCCTGTCATCCTAGCTGACTCAGGAGGCTGAGATCTGAGGATTGTGGTTCAAAGCCAGCCTGGATAGGAAAGTCTGTGAGACTCTTATCTCCAATGAACCATCCCCAAACCAGAAGTGATGCTGTGGCTCAAAGTGATAGAGTGCTGGCCTTGAGCAAAAGAGCCCAGGGACAGCACTCAGGCTCTGAGTTCAAAACCCACAACCCAACAACAACCACCAAAGGACCAAGAATCACAATGAAGACTAAAAAATTTTTTCCAGTCCACAGTTCCTAAGATATTTGGGGAAAATCATATTCTGACCCATTGATCTGCTTTAGAGGACAGTGTCAAACCAACTGATTATTCTGGAAACACTGTATTTTCCTCCTTCTCTTGGTGAACGAATATCTCAGTTCAGTGATCACATCTTAAGTGGCCTCCTAGAAGCTCAGGAAATGAAGAATGCTCGCAGACTGCGTGATCTCCACCATGTCCTTGTCAACCCTCAAGCCTCACTCTGCGAAACACCTACAGCACCTGAGATCATCTTGTAAAGTAAAATCCATCACAACTCAGAAAGGTAAGAAGGCGCGCTCTGGTATGCAGAATCTAGACCTAAAGAAATAATGACATAGATGTCCAAAGGAAAGGAGCTCCGGCAGGAATTGGAGATGCAAAGGGAGAGGGTGAACATGATCAGCGTATATTAGCAAACATATGGAAATGCACTAGCGAATGTGCACCAATTAGAATACGTTTGGAAGTCAATTAGAATATGCTTGATGTCGGTGGTAGAGCTGAGTGAGCCACTATGACCCAGAACCCGCCTTTGCGGCACTGAAGGACAGGCAGGTGGCACCTGTCTCCAGTGGCAATGAACCAATAGGAAGCGCCCAGCCCCAAGCTACCACCCATGCAGATGTCTTGCTAAGGAAAGAATAAACAACCATGAAGCTATGCTGGGCTCAGGCAGGTACTCCTAGCTACTCAGGAAGCTGGTGGTCTTTCTGTTGCTGTTGTTGCCGAGCTGAGGACTGAATTCAGGGCCTGGTACTTGCCAGGCAAGTGCTCCTTCATGGAGCTAACTATCTGAGGATCGCAGTTCAAAGCCAGCCTGGGGCAGGGAAGTCTCTAATTAATCACCAAAAAGCCAACTAGTAGTGCTGTGTGGCTCAAGAGGATTGTGCCCAAGCCCTGAGTTCCAGCACCAGGACTGGCGCAACAAATAAAAATTAGAAAAAATAAGAAAGCAATCTAATCAAACACCTAGATCTAAACGTGCGTTTGCAGGAAGAAGCCGAGGTAAAGGAGCAGGGCCTGCGGCAGGAAGGGGTGGCGTTGGTTAAAGGCAGAGCATTCAAAGGATCTCCCGATCTGCAGAATATGTTGGAAGAGAAGCCAGAGTCTGGTGGCTCATGCCTATAATTCCAGCTACTCAGGAGGCATTGAGACAGTGAGATTTGAGGATGGAAGTTCAAAGCTAGCCTGGGAAGGTGGCTTCCGGTGGCTTCTGAACAGAATCAAGTAGGAAATAAGGAGACATAGTTCGGAGACTGGTGAGCAGAGGAGAATCTTGGTTCCGAAAATGGCTAAAGGCAGTTGGGCAGGGCGGAAGACAGAAAGAACTAGGAGGAGGAGGAAGAGGAGGGAGGAAGGGGGAGGGGAGAGGAGGGGACACCAGGTAGACCACAATGTTGAGAAATAAAATTATTCTGATCACTTGCCTGGCTGCTGCTTCTTTTTAAAATCTATACCCAAGCTGAATTTTCCTTTGACACCAGAGGTAGAAGGAGCAAGTTGCTTTGCATATCATTGGTAGGTGTGTGTGTGTGGGGGGGGTGATCTAAGTGCCTGTAATCTTTTCTGACGGACAAGAAGGTGAGCAGATCAAGCTGTCTCTCTGGGGTCCTAGGGGAGCAGAGAAAAACCACAATGTGTATCCTTGGCTGGCAGCAAGTGACATCAAAGCACCTCCGATTGCCTTTCCGACTGGGTATTTACCCAGCAGGTAGGGGCTGGGTGGGGGATAGAAATCTCCCCACCCCCGCATCCTGCCTGGCTTACAGCCCCTTCCCCAAACTGCACCCTGACAGCAAAGGCTATCAACAGCTGTCTCTCTGCCTGGCTGCTCAGAAGAGTCTTTTGACAACCTTCCTTCTTACAAAAGCAACTACTGCTGGCTTTAAATACATTGAGAGACAGTAGCCTCACTATTCTCTGTGGCTCTACCATGTGTTTTTTCTGCCATGCTGTTTTGCTGTCTGTGTCTCTGGTGTGTGTTCCTTCAATAGCAAGGTCTATTCCCTCCAGTTCTTCATCTTATTGTCGGTACTGGGGCTTGAACGCAGGGCTTAGATGCTGTCTTTGATGGGACCACTTTGAACCACAGCTCGACTTCCAGTTTTGGGGTGGTTTATTGGAGATAAGAGTTTCATAGACTTCCCTGCCTGGGCTGGCTTTGAACCTCGATCCTCAGATCTCAGCCTCCTGAGTAGCTAGGATTACAGGCGTGAGCCACCAAAGCCCGGCTTCCAGCTCTGTTTTAAACAACCTTTACCACCTTGCGGGTTCCCCGTGAATAAACCAATGAGATCTTTGACACATGTTCCTGTTCGGTTTGTGTGTGAAGCCATGCTTTAGAATTCCTGAAACATATTTTGACAACGTGAATATGCTTAGCATAATGATGGTACATGTTAGGCAAGGGATACATATTTCACAATTGATTGGAGCCCTGTCAGATGTTAAACTCTAGAAGAAGGGAGGAAATTACCTTCCTATTTCCAAAGTCAGAAAATGAATTCGAATGTTATTTTTTTTCCCCCCTTCATTCTCCAGTTCTGAAATTGGGTGTCAAGAGTTTCATTTGGGAGAAGCTATTGATTGACTGCCACATCAAGGCTTGAAGCAAGGAATAGTTCTAAGGATATAATTTCACTGACATAATATTCTTGCAAATCTGTAAACTTAGGGTGGCATTTCAAAACGGGAATATTATACAATGGAGCACCCCGAAGATGGGCTCCATTCTGCTTTTCCTTTGTATGCTACATTATACATTCTATTCCCTTTCTTCCCCACCCCCATACAATACAGAGATGACAGGCATGTGGTACTGTGCCCAGCCATGAGTCAACATGGAGCCTAAGCTAACCTCCAATCTGTATGCTTCATCTCTCCAAAGTAGCTAGGATTACAGGCTTAAGCTGCTGGGCCCTGCTCCATTTCCAGTTATTAAACCTAATAAGGCTAACCTTTAGTAATGATCATCTTTCAGCATAATGTAAGCCATTTTGTCCCTTTGTTTTTTTTTTTTTTAAAAGTAAACCAACATCTGGGTTTTTTGTTTTGTTTTGTTTTGGTTGGTTGTGGGGTCTGAACTCTGGGCCTGGGCACTGTCCCTCAGCTCTTCAGCTCAAGGCTAGCGCTCTACCACTTGAGCCACAGCGCCTCTTCAAGTTTTCTGGTGGTTCATTGGAGATAAGAGTCTCATAGACTTTCCTGCCCAGGCTGGCTTTGAACCATGATCCTCAGATCTCAGCCTCCTGAGAAGCTAGGATGACAGGCGTGAGCCACCGGTGCCTGGCTAAAAATCTTTTACTTTTGTTTTTGCCTTTCCCTCATCTAGCAGATCCCATACCAAATACCTGGTCATGAAATTCTACTGAATTTATGAAAGGGAGAATGAATCTTGGTGGATACAAGCAAGTCTGCACATGACAGGCTGCCAGTTCACTTCAAGGCCCGGATAGGCTAATCACTGAGTATTGGTGTGAATGTGTTGATTTCAGAAGTGCTTTTCTTACTGGGGGCGGGGTGGGGGTGGGGGGAGTTTGGATTCAAAGATGAAAGGAAAAAAATAACCCCAACAACTCCAGAATGCTATCTTTGCCACGATTTCTGTGAAGAGCTTTTCAAAGAACTTGAGCGGTCAGTGGTTTATCAAGGAGCTATCAGGAGTAGTATTTCCCACCGCCATGGGAAATACTAGGGTGGTGACTCAAGACCTCTGAGAATTCCTGTAGTGCCTAGGAAGTCCCTCCCCCACCCCAACTGCCAATCACCAGAATGCCCTATCTGGTGGGGGTGGGGCAAGTCTATGAGGCAGGGGATCAACTCTGTCCTGAGCAACAGGACTGGTCTCTTCACCTAAAACTTTTGCCTTTGAAACATTCTCTTCAGAGAGGACAAAACCTAGCCAGGCTGTAAAGATGATTGATTTCCTGTACCAATACTCCACCATTGTATCAATACGACCTCTAGCTCTGACAGGAAAACTCTGTAACTACTCAATGACTGTGAAGTGACTGCCAGCAACCTGTTACCTACACACTGAGCAGCCAGAGTCCAAACAGGGTCCCTGCCCTCGCCTAGCACAATCCACTTCCGGAAGCTTCCCCCCCCCCGCCCCCTCCTTTTATTGTGCCAGTATTGGGGCTTGAACTTGGGGTCTAGGTTCTATCACTTTTATTTATTTATTATTTTGGTGGTTAACTGGAGATAGGAAACTCATAGGACTTTCCTGCCTGGGCTGGCTTTGAACACT